CGTGAGGATACTGTGGGAGACGGTGTCAATGCCCAAAACAGCCCAGTGCTGTTGCTTGCCTTATTCACAATGTCTTAGTTATGGAAGATGCCAGATTAAATACACTAGCCATTCCCTTCCTAGCCTGTACTGAGAACCAGGGTTATTCTGCCCAAGGCGCAGAATTTGCACATCTTGTTGAGCCTCCTAAGGTTTCTGCTGCCTCCATCTTCAAGTTTATCAAAGTGTCTCTGGACTAAGTCCACCATTTTTTGTCTCAACCACTCTCCCTACGTTAGTGTGATCCACAAATTTACTGAGGGACCACTCTCGGTCATCATGAATGCCATTAATGAAGATGTCTGATCATGAGTGTTTGAGACTGGTGATGCAGCTAGTTTTCAACCCATGCAACAGTCCATTTATCCAGCCTGCATTCTCTCTGCTTCCAGAGGAGGGTCCTGTGGGAAACAGTGTCAAAGGCCATACTAAAGTCAGTCTCATCCACTGAGACAGTAATTTTGTCATAAAAAGCTGTGAAGTTAGTGAATCCAAGCTGAATAGTCCTGATTACCTTTTGATTCTTTTTGTCCTTGAAAATGGATTCCAAGGGGATGCACTCCATTATCTTTCCAGAGAGCAAGGTGATGCTGAACAACCTGTGGTTCTCCAAGTTGCCTTCCTCCTCAAATGTAACAAGAACTAGTAGTTTAAATATAGGTTTTCTACCACATCCTAGTTTTTCAGTCTGTTCTCGAAATGAGAACTCTGCTTTACTGTTTTCTCTTTGTTATACACCAGACACTTTGGTTGGGGTCTTTTTTTGTTGTTTTCATTTGTTTTACAGAAAAATATCTGCCAAATTTTTCTTAAAAATTGACTTTGTCTACTCTGAATTTGCTATGTATATTGTTCTTTTACCAAACAGCTTTCTGCTTTTGCAATGGTATGAGGAGAACTTAAGCAATGTATTGTGTGGGGGTTTTATTTTGGTTTTGTTTAATACTAAGCATTGTTTGTGTCTGTCCTGACCCTAAATTAGTTTTCCTCTTTTGTTTCTCTTGTCAGTTTTATAAATTACTTTTTTCAAATCCCGAGTCTTTGACTCTGCTATGGGATAACTTTTAATACTTTTTTTTTCTCTGCCTGTGGCCACACTTAGATTAAAAATCCATCCTAATTATTTATTTTATTTTAGAATTTTTTATGCTACTCTCTAGGAGTTATACATTTAATTGTGTATATATGTTATATGTAAATACACACACAAACACACACATATAAATGTAAAATTCTGTTAAGTTATTAGATCTCTATGTGAAAGAGAAAATAAGAAGAGTAATAGAAAGTTTATGTACTCACCATGAGACTGGTGGTTTTGTACACTTTGCCTTCAGATTAGTTTCAGCAGAACTGAAAAATGGGAATTCATGTACATTGTGTGCTCAAGCTTACTCAAATATACAGATGTTTTTAGTATCCATACTATTTGTGTAATGTATATTTGCCCACATATACAAATTCTTTACCAATCCACAAGACACCATTTAAATGAAATCTGTCTCTGCCCCAGGTTGAATTCAGGGTAAGAGTATTAACAGCCTTTCGTTTTTCTGTATTTTCTTTACTTTCTTGTGCCATAACAATTGGCTTCTGTGTTGAGGGATTTGGATGGGTGGGGTAGTCTTCTCTTTTGTAGCCATGGACAGCAGGAGGGTACGTCAGTAAAAGAAGAGTTAGATGTCCAGAGAGCTGAAGACGGTCATTGAAGGGGCTGAAGAGTAGCCACTGTAAATAACTTGATATTGGACACCTGTAACTTTAGTTGCAGTAGAGTTTTCAGCAGGTGGTAGGCTAAATTCTGACGTTTTAGTCAATTGCTCTCAGAAATGGTATTGCCCCATGAAGATTCTTTTGAAATTTTTATTTTCAAGAAAAAAATATCTACACCAAGGAGGAGTTCATCATAAGGGGATGTCAATACATTTATCGAAATGAGGGGTTTTGTGACAGCTTGTTCAGATTTTGAGCAGGTTACCTGCGTGATGGCTCTCAGAGAGCCCTAGAGCTGGAGCAGATGGAAAAAAAAATGTGATATACCATGGTGACAGTGGATATGCTACAAAATGCAACAGAAGAAAACTATAGATTGAGAAAGTGTGGTAGCAGAGAGCTGCAGAGCTGTCTAATCATCTCCTCTGTCATTACAGCATCTGAGATCTAATCTGACTGAATACCAACCTAAATTATACCAAGTTCTAGATGATGGGAAAAGGCTCCTCTTTTCTGTCACCTGCTCGGATCTTGAAAGTCAACTGAACCAACTAGGAGAAAACTGGTTGAGTAGCACCAGCAAGGTTACCAAGGAGCTTCACAGGCTGGAGACAATACTGAAGCACTGGACAAGGTAATGCTCATGTAATGGACAGTATAAACTTCTGCACTTGTGCAGTTCACGTCAAAGTTATTCTGAACCCAGATTGATGAGATTTGACATTTAAAATAGAGTACTTTGAGACGTATGTGATATTTTGACCACTCTACAATATCCTACTTCTGTTACATAGAAGTGCTACCACACTCATTTGCAATAAAACACGTACCAGATAACAGCTGGTGGGAGGAAGTCAGAAGGTATCTTATTTAGATTACTAATTTAGAAGCCCTGTGTGCATACAGGTTGATGAAAATGGTGTGTGCTTTGCTAGGTAGCGTGAGTAGCCTCAGCATGTTCTGGTAGGGGCATTGCCACTGCTGGGTTTTTGTGGGTCTGTGTCGTTGCATGTATGGAAGGGAGCTTTTAGCTGCCTTTACTAATGTTCATATGCTACATTTGAAATGAATTATCTAAGTGATATACAAGCTTTGTCTCTTATTTGTAATATTCCTGGCTTGTTCTCTCACTAGCCTTTCAAGAGAGATACATAAAGGGTTTGTATGTATAAAGGTTATGTGAAGACATGGTTATTCTGACATCTCATCAGTTGCTTGCCAGATGAAATGATATGGAGATAGTTTCTGGAAAAATAAAGTTTCTGCTCTGAGATACCTTGTGGTAAAGCTTTTTGGAAGATTGAGTCTTCTAATGGAAAGCTAAAATATGTTTATGTGTTTGGGGTGGGGTGCTGTTGCACCTTGACCAAACAGATTTGGATCCTAGTTACTAGTCCTTCATTAAACTTAGTTTTTCCTAAGAGGCAAAACGAAGGCACTGTTAGGAATTGTGGGTGTAATGGCTAAAATAAGAGCTTCCCAATACCATGCATGTCTTTAAAATTAAATAATGTTTCCTGAAATTTGATAAAGGAAATAAAATATTTTTATTTTAAATCTGGCATGCAGTATCTTCCTGTAAAACATAGAGGAGATACTGCTCAGTTGGAGGCAAGAAGTGGCAATGACTGGTTTAGTTTTCTTTAAACATCTTTACAGGTATCAGAGTGAATCAAATGAACTGACACATTGGTTACAATCTGCAAAGGAGCGGCTTGAGTTTTGGAGCCAGCAATCTTTGACAGTTCCTCAGGAACTGGAAACAGTCCGAGACCACCTGAACTCCTTTTTGGTAAGTAGTTCATGGACCTAGGACACCTTTTTCTCTCCAATTACAAATAAACAGCTGAGCAATCATACGGTTATACTTTTTCTCATTGTTGAAGTAGTGAGTATGCAAAAAAAAAAGTCTGCTTCTGTAGGTGAGCTGTCCCTGAAAAAACTGGTGTGTGTGCACATTAAGCACTCCTTTGCTATATGCAATGATTATAAAGCTTGATGATTCTGAAAACAGAAAATGGTTTTATGGCTGAAAACTATTTTTGTTCTGAAGTATAGCTAGTAAACACTAACAGAAAGTACATATTTTTAAAGGGAAGGGAGGATATTCTGACCTTTCTGAGATAAAGCTTTAAGTACAGTAAACAAGTAGCTGATTGTAGTAAATATGTGTTAAACTATTGGGCAAATTGGGTCTCAGTCCTAAACCTAAGGATGAATCCTAGGCTAGTAACTGGGGCTGTGCTCCCTCCCAGCTTCTCCTGCGCCTGCAGACACTGGCCCAGCAGAGAAGCTGAAAAGTCCTTGGCTGGCCTGGCAGCAACTAAACATCAGTATGTTATCAGCTGCCTTCTCAGCACAAATCCAAAACACAGCCTCATAATAGCTACTATGAAGAAAGTTAACTCTGTCCCGGCCGAAACCAGGACATTGATTGTTTCCACAAAAATGATTCTGTTTACAGGAGTTTTCAAAAGAAGTGGATGCTAAATCATCACTGAAATCTTCTGTCCTGAGTACTGGGAACCAGCTCCTCAGGCTAAAGAAGGTCGATACAGCAGCATTGCGTGCAGGATTGTCCCACATTGACAGTCAGTGGACAGAGCTGCTCACACAAATCCCAGCTGTACAAGAGAAATTGCACCAGGTAAGGAAGGCCAGTGATGACCTTTGATATTCCAGAAAATTACAGGAAATTCAGACCGTATGGTTGGAACTGCCCTGGAGAGATATTTTCTCCCTTCCTCAATTTATCCATGTGAGGCAAGGTAGGAATGATGCTACTCCTGTTTTAATGTGGGAAAGCTTACACCTGTGTCCAAATCCTGTCTACCCGTACTGTCTAACGCCAATTATGTTAATTTCAGACTTTCACAGTTACATTTGTTAAATTTTAACCAAAGAACAGATGAGGGTTTTTTCTAACATGTTGTTATGCTTTTTGGAGAAAGGAAGTTCACATCCATGTGTCCTGTCAGGTTTGGATGGTAATTTAATTCAAATTGAATAGACTGGGTTCAAGTCTGTGCAAAAAAAAAAAAAATAAAACAAAACAAACAAAAAAAACCACATTGTGCAAGGTTCCTGCTATTGTATATAGGAGCAGGAGGGTTTTCGTTATGTAGTCTTGGTTTTTTTAAGGATATAATACTGAAGTTAAAGAATTACACTGGTCTAAAAGTTGGTTTATTATTTAGTTGCTAGGAGGTAATCATTGTAAGTAATTCCTTCAGTTTATAATTTGGAATGCTCTCAGAGTTAGTAATATCATAGTGATTTAGGGGGAGAGAGGAAGGGTAACAAATGTTAACTGAGCCTATTATATTAAACAAAATAATGTAATTCAGTAGTTCTCTGAACTGTCTTGTAATGCAAAATATGTCTAACTAAAAATGTCATAGAACGCATTTCTGAGTAACTAAATGTAAACAAGCACTACTGTATCAAATGTTGAAAGTGAGTTTTTTAAGAAAAAACAAGTACTATTAAAAGTCAGCCCATTTCGAAATCGCTACACGAGGAGACTAGTATAAAATTATTTTCCATGGATCTACTCATTGCCCATTTACAAGGACAGGAAAAGCATAGCCTAAAGTTGATCTTCTACATAAGCCCAATACAGAATTATGGACTGAGAATGCAGAGTCTTTAGGAAGGCGGAAATGGAATCTTTTGAGTTTGTCTGGTTTCTTTGTACAAAAAATAATGGAAATAAGAATATAATATTAATATAATATTTTCTTATTAGGATGCATGCAGTTATACAATATATCTCCTATTAAAACATTTCTTTTTTATTACTACTTTTTGTTTTTATAAGCTTCAGTGATATGTTAGGGATGTAGAATAATATGATAATAAGAGAAGGTAAAGAAAGTGTACTATGGTAATGCAAAGCAAGGAATTCTTATCCGTTTTCTTCACAACATATATTTTAAGCATGTTATCTCTACAGCTCCAGATGGACAAAATTCCTTCTCGCCATGCTATCACTGAACTTATGAGCTGGATTTCCCTGATGGAAAACATCATTCAGTTTTTTTTATGAAGAGAATATAAAAAATGTAGTGGGACAGAAAGCTGTTCAGGATTATGTGCAGAAGTACAAGGTATTGAGTGGAAATGTTATTGATTTGCCTTTTGAATTATCCCCGTTAAATACATATACATATGTAAAGTATAAGTGATTTAAGGGAAAAAAAAACCCTTACATTGTGGAGTGGCTGGAATTGTAAACAAGTTAGAATTGGGTAGTATTTGATACTGTGGAAAAGAAGCCAAAGTTACTTTTACTCTGCTGTTTAGTTATGGCAAGAATATAATTTATAACATGCTTACCTTAATTTCCAGGTAAATCCAAAGCAATATGCACATGATTAAATCTTATTAGATCTGTCTTTAACCCAAACCCACAAAGCACTTTACCAAGCATGTAAGTTGTTTTATGAATTCGATACATAATATCACCTTCTTCTCAAAGGGCAGCCTGTTCTTGATTGGAAGGTGGACAGTGGTTTACAGATCAAGGTAATTTTGATCAGTATCTGAAGCAAAAATGAAAGCTGCTATATTTTGAGATAACTACTGAGGCGTATAGATACAATGCAATTTCACTTCTTTAACTACATCAGTAGCACTCTTGTAATAGATCTGCACACAGTGACTTTCTTCTCAATGTCAGATTTGTTTCACTAGTCTCCTGAAAAATCACTTTACTTCTTGGCTATTATTCTTTGTATGTAAGAATATTTTCCACCTTACCTGTTTTTGTATTAAAAATTTGGAGACTAAATAAAGTGGAAAAAAAATCAATATATAACCAGTTTTTCTTAAATCTTATCCTTGAGGCCAATATAAATACATTTACAGATTTTTTTAATTATTATTTAGGGAGCAGAGAGGGAGG